ATCGGGTCGATTTAAGAGATAGTCGTTGAAAACCAGAGTTCTAAAACTTTACGCCATTTTTGCGTGTTTTTTGACTGTTGAGAGTTAAACTCTTATAAATCTTGAATGTGGAAGTGTATGATGTTGCGACTTCATAGGTTTTATAGAGTAAGGTTTGCCTTATCAGAATATGTCTTGTCCGTTCCGATCCATTGAAACACCTCCGAGATCCAGAGTCATGAAAAAGCAGGTAAAAAAGAGCTTTTTGAACTTCAACAGCTCATAACTTCTTCAGGATTGCACGAATCATGTTGCGACTTCATAGGTTAGATTCTTCTCGTCAAGAGCTTTCAGATGATATATAATATGTGGGGGTTTAGAGCCTCCTGCGAATTATGACCGGGGGGGGGGGGAGACTTTTTAGGCCAAAGTCTCCCCCTCACCCATTTTAATGTATTGGCTGGAGGCTGCCGGGGGAGACTTTGGCCTAAAAAGTCTTCCCCCCCCCCGGGCATATGCCGTAAGAGGCGCGAAACCCCCACATATTATATATCATCTGAAAGCTCTTGACGAGAAGAATCTAACCTATGAAGTCGCAACATGATTCGTGCAATCCTGAAGAAGTTATGAGCTGTTGAAGTTCAAAAAGCTCTTTTTTATCTGCTTTTTCATGACTCTGGATCTCGGAGGTGTTTCAATGGATCGGAACGGACAAGACATATTCTGATAAGGCAAACCTTACTCTATAAAACCTATGAAGTCGCAACATCATACACTTCCACATTCAAGATTTATAAGAGTTTAACTCTCAACAGTCAAAAAACACGCAAAAATGGCGTAAAGTTTTAGAACTCTGGTTTTCAACGACTATCTCTTAAATCGACCCGATTCCTTCACTAGCTGATAGAGCAACATCTACTCTTCAAAACCTATGAAGTCGCAACTGCTGACATCTTCAAACAACAGATTTATAACAGTGGAAACTTCGCATGATTTTTCACTATTTATTTATTCGAAATTCTGATTCTCGGCCGTTACTGCCTGGATCGATCTACTTTCTTCGCTGTACGTTATAACAAATTGCTTAATAAAATCCGTACAGTCCAACAAACTTCTACTTCCAAATACACCATTTACTAAACACGTCTATTTTAAATTTTTATAAATAAAATTTATAGATATTTTTAATATTCATCGTATCTGTGGCCCTAAAGAGGGCCGTTGGGTCGACGTTAGACCTAGAAAGATAGCTCCGTTCGTCCGTTCTATCCTCCCCCCGCACCTCCCCCCCCCCCCGTCGACGTTTTTGGGAGGTGAGTGTCCGACACTACCACCTTCACTTTTGGCCGGCCAGTGGTAGCTGAAACCACCTTCACTTTTGGGGGACCCGGCTCCCCCTATCGCACCTCTGCATGGAACCCTTCGACTTCTTCTTTCTGTAAACAAATGTCTCGAACTCTAATGCAGTACAAACTTTTTTCGAGTTACTGCATGAAAAGAGTAATAGTATTTATGTGCTTCAGACACAATAAGATATGACATTTCTGAGAAAATGTTCAGATGTTCGGTCAAAGGTTAGGACAATATTGAAAAGCAATCAGGACCCGGAATGGGCTAATGCCTGGGCAATAGCATTTGTGTCAAAATTAGAATAACTTATTCTCAGCCGCAAACCTACTCAGACAATCACCGGGGGCAGGCGGGCACCGGAATAATAAATTGCTGATCTCTCGCACCCCGCTCGCGGATTTTTTGTAAAGCAATCAGGACTTTTCGGAAGGCCGCTTGCTGAGTTCTCGATTCCTCAGAGATTCAGCAATATATCTGCAAAAGATAAGAGCGAAAAAAAATTCAACAGGCGGTTTCTCAAAAATCCGCTGACTCAGCAAGCGGTCTTCCGAAAAGTCCTGATTGCTTTCCAAAAAATCCGCGAGCGGGGTGCGAGAGATCAGCAATCTATTTTTCCGGTGCTCGCCTGCCCCTGGCGATTGTCTGAGTATTCTTCAGTGCAGATGCATGCATTCTTATCGTTTGTCCACAAGCGAAGAATGAGGTTTATGTTTTGATATACACAATACTCAAGCTGACATCAAGCAAGGGAAACCGCCTAGACACTCATGATTACCTTTTCACAATGTCCAGTGCCGTAATCATCAATGAGCCCAGTGGGTAGGTTTAACCCTCGAGATCAGTATTTACGAAGCTAGCGGGTTCGCAACCCAGCAGTGCTTTTTGTCAATATCGATCCAACCTAGTAGCCCTGCTTTCGCTTCGCCACTGGGTAGCGCAAATCCACTAGGTTCGATGATGAATGCGGCCACAGAGCTTCTTTGCAGGAGTACAAAACAAGCCAATTGGTGAACGAAGTAATGAGAAGATCTGTACATTTTTCCTCCTTACACCCAATCTGAAAAAACTCAGCATTTTTACATATATACTGCAAACGTCAAAAAAGGTTTTAACGACGCCCTTGGTTCCGCATCAGCTAAGCAAGCTATCTAAGAATTGCGCGAGCAAACGGTTACCTGCTGCGGGAACACACAGACGTTTTGTAATGGTAATGTTAGAAAATTCACTGATGTTAGCAAGAATAAGGTGCCTGCCTTCCGTGTCTGATCAAGTGAGCCCAATGATTAGAACCTGTGCTTGTCAAGCCCGCCTGCAGAATTCGCTAAGAGTTTTCGAAGTTTCGCCATCGAAACCTCGAGCAGCCCTGGGCGTAACAGAAATTGTGTCTGCGCCTCTGGGCGCACATCTGTGCCATCAAAACAGACTTTCAAAGTAACTTGTTGTTCTTTCGAAATCAACCTAGCAGGACCATAAAGCCACAGAGGCTTGCTGGATTGCGTTCAAATGCCCTCACCTGAATTGTATGCATTTGCTGTTTCTTTCCAAATCTTGAGAAAATCTATTCGCGCCGTAACCTTGATGCCTTGACCTATTTATTGATTTGATTGTACTGTTAACAAATGAATGCCATCTTGATTGAGAACTGGCATATGACTACTCTATTTAAAGGTCAAACACGCAAAAACATAATTACCCTATTTTCATGCGTATAGGACGAGAAGGAGACTTTTTCTAAAATCGAACAGGACAGACACGCCAAAGGACTTCGCGGCTTCGCGAACTATTTCAGTGTTGCATATTTCCTGAGATTATTGTGCGGTATGAGTCTCGTCTTCCAAAACGCATCGAGGCGGCTGAGTTGCACGCTTAGAAAATCCGAAAAGGTGCGTCTTATGCGCGTGAAATTAGGGTAGACGAAATCTTAATGTATTAGGTTGTCAAGAAAATAATGTCGTTTTTTTCGGGTTTTTTCGTGTAAAATTGATATTACTCGAGAACTAGAGCATATCCAAGGCCGAAATTTTATGGTGAAAGTTACAAAGGTTTGTAGTATACAAAGGCATATGTGGGAGGAGCCCAGTACTACTGGGGGCGGAGTCTGCCATTTTTCATTTTTCAATTTTTTCTTGGTTTATAAGCATGGAAAAAATATAGCAAGTGTACCTATGGATAAATGCATGTGTCCTTTACAATCAGGAGCAAGTAAGAGGTTCGCAGGATTTTCTAGGGCGAAAATCCAATTTTTTTCACCACGAGTTGCTCGTATGTGTTGGCTCTGAACTTTTCGTAAACAACAAGTTCTGCCAATGTTCGGATGTCATCTTGTAGAGCTTCTCTTGCTCTGTCGAATGGTACCCCTCACATAGTTTTTTGGATTTGTCTTATGGCTTTGCTATGAAAAACGACATTATTTTCTTGACAACCTAATACAATTTGTTAATATTTTCGGAAATTTATTCTGAAGCATCACCTTACAAAGTCACTGCATGCTTGAAGTTCCTACGTAATCCAACAATAAAGAAAAGTGATCGGCGATTTTCTTCATATTCTGCAATCAAGTTGAAGCCAGCTGGACGAAAGAGTAAAAAAACGAGTCAACACTTGGAGCAAGGTAGATTTGACTATCAAGCAGTGACGTACTGCTGAGACCTTATGAGCTTCATCTAAATCACGCCTACCTAAATGTTGATAATCCTGTACAGTATTTTCCGCCCTACCATATACAGTGCGCTTCATAATTAAACAAACACCCCAAATTTCAAAAATCTGGGGTGTTTGGGAGAAACTCAAAAAGCCGTTGGTTCCGTGCGAAAGAGCACAGCCGAAAACGGTATACGATCCACAAAAACGGAAATCGATCTTAATCTTAGGAATGTTTTTGCGCCTAATGCGAATTTTAAGCGATTCATAATTATACGAACACCTCAAACAAACGTTCATTTTTCATTCAAGACTCCAACCTTTCCAGTCCAAACTTTTTCTAAAGTTACAGTATCAAAATCTGTGGCATCTGCCACACATCAGCCCTGTGCAGTTCAAAAAAAGGAGCGTTACTCATTCGAGATAGCTCTTAATGCTTTTGAAGTCATTGCGCTTTAAAAAATGTCCGTTTTTTGTGTACGCAGTCTAATTAACATTTATCAAATATATGAGATAAACCAAGTTCCAGCCTTACCCTGAAGTCGTATACCCTAATCTCACGCGTATAAGGCGCAGGGGATTTTTTTTCCAAAATCGACCAACTCGGACACGCCAAGGGGCTTTACAACCAAGAGATTCTGTAACGTGCTATATATTGATTAAGAGAATCGTGCGGTATAAAGATCTCTTTCCGGAATACAGTGAAGCGGCTGGCTTAAAAAATCGAAAAAGTGCGCCTTATACTCGTGAAATTAGGGTTCTTATGAGTCGCATTATATCTAAAACTGGCGAAACTACGTCGAAACGGAGGAAATATTGAGGCCATAGAATTTTTCAAGAAAACGATTTGAGCACTTCGTGAAAATCTGAGATGGTCGTGTTATGAAAACTTTTTCCGATGGTTGCAAAATTGCGAAGTATCTAAGAAACATGACTTTCATGAAACCTAGCAATGGCCACGCCCTTACAGCTGAAGAGATTTAAAAAATTGTTGAAAAATTGATTTTGTAAAAAGTGATAAACTTATCTACCTGAATATTACACGAAGCGATACAAGCTGCTCTGGCGGCACCCTGGATGATGGGAAGCTTGTCATCCATTCCTTCACAAGTGAAACTGTACACTGTGCCAGTAATGGATAAGAGCAGAAGGCTAATAAAAAGACACTTCATTCTGAAAAACGAAAAGTTGAATTTTGTAACACATGATATATCACAAACGCAGTCGCATATTAAAGCGTTTTGCTTTTGCGAATTATTGTATGCCTTGTCAGAACAAACTGTTTCCTCACTTTATAGATCAGAAATGCCAATCAATCACAAAGAAATAATTCATAGGCGCTGCGGAACGAAACACAAGGAGGCGGTTTGATGGAATCAACGGTACAGAACAAGCTCACTTTTACGCTGCCTTTGGCCTAGGGCATAGTGTCCACGATACCGTCGCGCTGCGATTTCTGAATTACGACAACTGTTACGCACCTGTTACATGTGTATGATCTGCTACGGCGCTTGTGATACTCGTCCGGCGCGAAGAATCGCGGACCGATTTTAGCTGGGGCATAGTTCTGCAGCGATAATCGCCGCGATTTCGGCAAAACCCAACGATGTCGCGTCGCGCGTGCTGCACGGCGACTGGGCGATATCGCTGAGGTTGGAACGAGATTCTGAGAGACTTTCATAGACATGCATTGATGTTTAACTCGTCTTTGTTTGACGAAATAGAAAATCTTTATGTAAGAAGTTCGTAATTGTTGGGTGCGCCCCGTTTGCTTTACAGATCTAAACTAATTTGTTTTTTGCTTTTTTTGTGAGTAATTGCTTTTGCAAACTAAACTTGTGAATTGTCATTTCATTTCGCATGAATAATATCACGTTTTGTAATCCACATGATTGCAGGAGAATTTCTGTTTTTGATACTAGTGCATCAGCACAAAACAGTTATGTTTGTGTGTTTCCGCAGTCTTCTAGTGCTGTGCTCGAATTTATTTCTAAAAAACTCCTAGTAAATTTTTGCTAGGCGCTAAAATGCCCACTTCATCTTTCCAATATGTTCCTTCTGATTGCTTCTTCCAAAAACTTAGCGAAGAGTGTCCTAGTTATAGCTGTTAGCTCATAGGGCAGCATTCGTAGGCGAGAATTTGCCAAAAAGTGGTAAGCTTATGAATAATGGACTTGATGAAAGACAAACAAATGAAAATTTCTGTACTCGAGTATCATCACGATTGGCATCAGCAATGGTGGATGCTGAGAGTGAGTAAGCGGAATATTCCATGAGAACAAATTCCAGTCAGCTTTTGTGCAAAGACTTTGGATCGCGTGCATTATGCCCATGTCCTCTCGACTAGCGATTTCGTCGTCGCGATTTCGTCGCCCAAACCATCCGAATCCGCGGCGATGAAATCGCGGCGACGAAATCGTGGACACTATGCCCGTTGTCTTTCAGTGTAGGGCACCAATGCAAGCTCCTTTCTCGCTGACAAGGGAATGGTCAGAAATCGAAGTGGCCAATCCATACAAGCTGCATACCGTTCGATGCAGCATAGAATGCTGATTTTAAATCTGTCTTCCCTATCTGCAGAGCGCTCTTGTGTACGAAATTATAAGCCTTTGAAGGCCTTTATTTTGCTGAGAAATTGTGCGTGTAAAGTGCAAACTTGGCCGTACAAAGCCATCCTCGGCTCAGTGTCGGACCGAAACGTGCAAGTAGATCACTTCATATGACCCATACCTAGAAGTGAGCTCAAAGAGTAATAATGTGCCTAACTTCACAGTTTTTGTTTACAATTTTTTCGCAGTAAAGCTGCCCATAACTTCGCCTACAAAGGCGCTCTGCAGATAAGGAAGACAGATTTGAAATCAACATTCTATGCTGCATCGAAAGGTATGCAGCTTGTACAGATTGGCCACTTCGACTTCTGACCATTCCCTTGTGAGTTTTGTTTCGGAGTATGACCAATAGTCAAAAATCCTTGATGTAACCTATTTACTCAAGACACCGTCCACCCAATGTGTGTTAGTTTTTGATGCTTTATAATAGCAGGACCTTCTACTAAGTGATTGTCAAGCCCCGCTGCAAAAAATGAAATCTCCTAAAATGTTGCTCCAAGGGGTACAAGCGGCCAAGTGCAGAATAGTTTCACTAGAAAATTATGGATTCGAACCAACGGGCTTGACTTTGATGAAATAGTTAACGGAAATCTGCGGAATAAAAAATTTGGATCAAATAGTCTAGCTTTCAGAAGAAGGATATTTGACCTTATTACACACACAACTTTGTACGAAGAGTACCAGATCAATTCCTTGGACTTTTTTCAAAAGAGGCGTTCACGAACGAGGGGAGGGCCAAAGAAGATAGTGATTCCAAGAGCGAGAAGGAATGTGAGGAGAAAGTTTTTTGTGAATAAAGTAAGCAGTGATCTTGATAAACTAATGCGAAAGGGAATAATTTTCTATAAACTTCCACAGTTCAAAGCAGTCTTGAAGAGCTATCTATTTTCTCCATGAATTCGTGGTGGGATGTTTTACCATTTCATAGTTACTAATTTTATTTATTGTTGTCTGAATATGTTCACTTTGGTTGATTTTGTTGTTTTGTCAACATAGGGTAGTCTATGTAATAAATAATGATAACAATAATGACTTTCGGCTATAACAGTGGGGGCCACGATGAACTAAATTATACTGTGCATCTATGGTTGTCAATAAGACTTTTACGTATTTTTACGTTCCAGAAAATGTCAATTGCAGGTCTGTAGGGGGGGGGGGGCAGAAGCAGAAATTAGAGCCTAGTAAGCTTTTTAGGTTCGTAGAATCCTATTCATTATCATCATAGCATATAACAGAAATTTGGAAGGGTGTGATTTGTACAACGTAAGTGGCTGGTACAAACCACGCATTACTTCTACAAGGCGCGTTACTTACAAGCATAGTAACGAACTTAAAGGGTATAACTTGTCAAAAACAAAAGACAGATTGCAAGGTGTATGCCCTCCTGCACCGCCCCACCGTACAGCTAATTAGTCTGCGAGCCAACGATAGGCGCACTAGCGTTCCTTATCAAGTTTGAGTTTTTCGCAAAATATTATTGATATTGTAGCCGTTATGCCATAGTCATATAGTTCCGAGCACTGTAAAGCATGCGAGTGCACTTTTTGAGCATTACACTTACACTTCGGGTTGTGAAGGTAACAAATTGAGCTGCTTTCGCGATTTCGTGAGAAAGTTGAAGTTTTCCAAGTCTTCCCTTTGCGAGGGCATTTGCTCAACACATGCCCAGTTGTGCGCGTCTCAGTCTTTGAGGCAATCGGGTCTCGCCTAACCAATTTGTCACAGCCTGACCACTCAGAGCCGCACCGCAGGTTACTATGGCTAGGGGTGCAAAAGATTCGTACTCCCTTCCTTTGTTTTTGAATCCAAAACTCTGCGGTCGTTTGCGATATCTGTACAAGTGAGGGTGCATTGAGTTGGGAACGGTCACTGCCTGATGGTCCCTTATTCACTCAAGAATATGGAATTTTAGCAAAATCGTAAGGCAGAGCGAAATTTTGAAGTACTCATTTTTTGCATCAATCTATCGAGTTTATTGTGGTAAATCCTTATCATCCATAACAAGTGTGGTTGACGTTATACAGTGAAAGATGATAAATGAAGAAAAACATCAATAAAGAAAAACATCTCCGACATTGTGCCTCTTTCTGTGTTGCACGTTGTTACTTCTTTTATAACATCTTCCAAACCAAACGTAAACAAGAGTTTACGATTTGCCACTATGATATGAATATATGATTTGTCTCCAAAATATCAGCGAGATGCAAGTGCAATAAGAATTTCTATGGGAAAAATTCAAAACATTCATTCGGAACGACAAGGCTGTGCCATATCGTGCTATAGAGTTGTTCAGTATCGATAAATTAAATTCAATGTCACTCATAAATGATGGATTACCAGTGATAATTTCTAATGTGAGAATGCGGCGTGCTGGTTTCTGATGTTTTAACTATGTGAGGAGTTCGTGTTTTTACAATCAACTAAGCGGCCTTCCTGACATTCTAATGGGCCAGCAATGTGAATGCTTGCTTGCTCAAAACTATCAATGTTTTATTTACAGGCTACAGAGACATTTTAATATTATTTTTAGCACATACGCAAACTCATAGCTTTAGAAAAGTACCTACATGGTTAGATGTTGGGTAATTTTTTGAACTTGATTATTGCATTCCGTTGAGAATGTTAAAGTTTCTTCATTACTCTCTTCCTTTGCCGACGACAACACACTCGAAGGTCAGCTTGAAGTGTTTAGGGGTTTTGCATTAAAATCAAGTTTACCCATGTGCATTGTATTTCTTCCAGGGATCGGTGGTGGCCTCTGCAGTCGGACCGAAACGGATGTTGATGAAACGATAACTATTAAATTTGTCACAGAAGAGATTCTTAGGCGTACAAGCACAAGAATACCATAACTAATTTTGAAAAGAGTGAATCTTTACATATGTGCAAGGTGTTCAAGTTCTGACAGGGGAAACAGCACAAAGAGCAACATCTATTCTGCCTTACAACCTAGCCATTCAAAGGAAAACCTAGTTTTGGAAGGACATCATTATCCGAATGTTAATTTTACGCTTTCTACACATTTTCTCAAAGACACATTTGTCTTTTCCATTATTGTACTGCTCATCATTGTGTGCGTTTTCCCATAATCATTGTCTGCCAAGGTTAGGATTAAGTCCGCCAAAAATTTATCTCTACTTGTACTTTAGCAACCATCTTCACATCTCCTTATTTTGAGTAGCTGTGCTTTAGTGTAATTTTGCACCTTTTGCGTGTCCTTTTCAAACAAGTTCCGTTTTCGTATCATTTTTATCTTAAAAGTTTTGTATCTGATGTCTGCTTAAGCTTTTGGCATATTCCATAGATGAATGTCTGGATAATACACAGTCACTATCTTGAAATATATCAGACATAGAAGAAGACGATCTTGCATAACACACTGGGAAGATACCAAAGATGTAGTGGTTAAGGCTCGATCTCTACTCCTAAACCAATCAGCACTATCCTGTAATAGCGTCAATGATAACTTATCCTTGACGAAGAATAACACGTGTTGCTAACCACCTAATCCTGGCGAATCATGCTTGATACCCCGAGGCCGGTGGCGATCATTCACAGTCCTATTCTTCGT